GGAATGCCGGGCAGGCCCTATAGGGGGAGAGACAGGAAAGAGGTCAGGACGGACTCCAGTAGGTCACAGCCAGGGGTGCCCACACCAGCCCCAGAGCCACCCACAGGAGGACGCCACAGAGGGCCTAAGATATATGACCCTGAAGACGGTGGTGCTGGCAACACGCACAGCAGATGAACGGCCCTTGTACTCCACAGGGTCAGGGTCTGCATGGCCCTAAACTCGGGCAAAGCTGAAGGGAGGTGCCCAGGGCTCCTGGTAGTCAGCAGATGCTTACTAAGTGCTCTTCCTCCCACCTTCCTAAGGTTCTCTACTCGTCCTATCACTGAGGTTACAACTGAGCTCCTGGGGGCAGGCAGGCAGCTCTGGAGGCTCCCAGCTCAGGGGCTTCTAATGGGCATCGAGGCCAGGCCTGGACTCTGGGCAGTTCCTGACGCATCTGGGTCTCCCTGGAATTCAATGCTTGGGTTGGAAAGATGGGGAATCTGAGGAAATCTTAGCACCCCTGCCAGCCCCTAAGCCAGCCTCCACCTTCCCTAGAGAGCTGCTATACCCCTTCAGGGATCACAAGGCCCACCCAAGTCTCGCCTATCCCTCGTCCTCAGCACTCCACCCGATGCAGCCACACCGTCTCAACCTGGGACTGCCGCAAAAGCTGCTGCCTAGACCCCCCCTCCACTCCCCGGAGCCCTCTCAGGGAGACAGGTGGTTCTGTCTGAAAGAGGTTGGCAGAGGACATATTTTTGGCTCCTTGGTTCCCGTCAGCCTCTGTCACAAGTGTTCAGTGTTACTAAGATGGGAACACAGCCTTGGGAATAGGTAAATAGTGAGCATGGCCGTGTTCAATAAAACTTTATTTGCAAAAACAGCTGCCTGGCTGGATTTTGGCTCCTAGGTCAGAGGTCACAGACTCCTGATCTAGAATATAAAGTGGGACTGTTTACTATTTGCTGAAAGCCGAGAGGCTCCCCATGCCCTCAGAATGAAATCTCTTTCCTAACCTTGGTCCCGAGTGCCCCTACAACCTCCCAGCCTCATTCCCCACCACTCTCTCCTCATTCAGTGCTTCCACCGTGTCACTGTCCCCCTTGCCAGGTTGTCATACAGCCCTGACTTTGCACTTGCTCCCTGAGCCTAGGATACCTCTGCCTTGATTTGTCCCCTAAGCAGACTCCTACTCAACCAAGGGCACCTCCCCCAGGATGGATGCCATGACTTCTCCAGACAGATGCCTGGCAGGTTCTGCTTTGCTGGGGCAGAGGGGTGGGTGGAGGGACGGGTGACCACAGACGCATACTCACTCGTTCTCCGTCGGCCCCTGGCAAGCCGAAGAGCCCTGGGAGACCAATGTAACCCTAGGAAAGAGCAGATGGGGGTGTCAGAGAGGTGGCGCGCTGGGGCACAGGTGGCCGGCCGGTCACAGCCCACCCTTCGCAGCCACCCCCCGCGGAGCTCCTCTTGCTCGCTGGCATGGCGGCGGCGGCTGTGGCTCCTCGACGACAGAGGCCTTGAGGCAAGTGTATATGCCCATGGACTGCATGGTGCTGGCTCCCACGATGTAGTCCAAAGGCACATACCCTCACGCCAGGGAAGGGCGCAGCGCTCGCCACGGAGGCCCGCCCCGGCTGGGGCTCCAGATCTGCGGAAGGAAGCTCTGGGCTGGGTTAGCTGCTAGCCTGGCACACACGCTGCCCATCCCACGACTGCTCGCGGGCACCATGGCTCCTGCCATGCCTCCTCCTACACCTGGGTCCCGGATGTGGGACTCACGTCCATGCCAGCTGCCTGAGCACCGCCAGTTACTGCCACGGCCTGCTGCATCCTGCCAGGTACGCGGGGCAGCTGCACAACACCCTACAGGAGACCCTGCAGATCGGCAGGCACAGGACCGACAAAGGAACAGGGGCTCTGGGAGG